CTGGCTTTCAAGACTCTTGGCAGAAAAGCGGGTCTGGCATGCTTCGTGCTGGGGTGCAGTAGTATTCAATTCAGCTTATAGTCCCTTAAGTAGATGGAATATAGCTTTGGGCAGATTACAATAAGATCCCATATACCCCATATTCTATCTACTTAAGGGGGACTATACCTAGAATCTACAGTCTGGTGTTTTCTGGGGTTCGTTACGTCTTCCACGAGTCTGAATGGCGTTGGAAGGTTTAGGAGGGTGCATGTGGGTGCTTCAGGGCCTTGCAGATTGTACCCCTGTTAGATTTGTGCCAATACCAGGCGCATCCTGAGGCCCAGACGTGTAAATCACTACGGTTCATAAACCCTATATAAACCCCCTATATCCTGTATTATAACATAAGTATGATCCCTACCGCCCAAGTGATGATCACAGGGCTCCCACTGAGTGGTTGTCTACATTCTGACGCGGGGCCAAGGTACCCAAACCTGTGAGATAGCAGTAGCCCTGAGCCTGAAACCGGAATTCCAAACTCTAAGCCCCAAATTAACAAACCATAGTTCCTGAATTCTAAACCATGCAGGCAAGGGGCGAGAAACAAAGAAACCAGTGAACTCTACACGCTGGTTTCCTAAAGCTGTTGAATTTGGGAGTCTCTGTACTGTGGCTCTTCGAATAAACGCACCAGCAGGTTGTCAAGTTCGTGCTCGCGTAGAACTGCATCCTAAATATGCGCAGCCGTACTATAATCAGTGCCCACAAATGGGGCCGTAAGTTTGATCGACCCAGTCCCTATACTACCTATACTACATCTCTATGACGCCTACTTTTTCCTATATCACACACATCTAGTCCCTTTGGAGTTGAAGGAAGCTCCAAGGCTGCTAGCACTTTCAGCAGCTTGCCTGGGTGGAGCCCGAACTGCGGAGATTTTGATCCAGGCGCCGCGTTTTCATCATTCCCCGGGACTTCGATGAACAGACATTTGTAAGAGGAGTTCTATAGGGTTTGGGGTTTAGGGTTTAGGGGCACCTAAACCCACATTACAGTGGTTAGATAGGGATTTTTAGGGCTTGTGGTCTGGGCGCTCTTAAAGTTTTAGTGGGGACTAAAAGGGGGTAGGTATAATTCAGATTGGGTCCCTTTTGGAGCACTACAGGAGTTTATTGTATTATGTAGGGTTTTCTACGTTCGGCGTTCTTCTCCCTAGTCTGTATGGCGGGCATTTCAGGCGCTTCGGGGGCCCTTCCCGGAAGCCCATGGATTGTGTGGAATGTGGTATGTTGAGGATCATTGGTTGTTCTCCAGCCCCAAGAACAAAGACCTTCTAGTGTCATGTCTGGCATCTAAATTCAGAACCGTAAACGCTCAACACCAAACCCTAGCCTAGCCTTAAATTAACCCCAACCTTGAACCAAACACCAAGGTGGAAGATGCGCAGAACCTGCCTTTGCTGCCTGGCTTGGGGACTGACATCAGGGCTGGCTGTCCTTTGAAAGGATTCTGCCAACAAGAAGACGCAGCCTTCTCTAGGGTTTGTCAGAAATGGGAGCCTATAGGGGTTTGGAGATATTGGGACATTGTACCTGGGTTACGAGGAGATTCTGCTTCCACCACAACTGCGTAGGAGTTGCACATTGGGAAGCCGCTTGGGATTGTTCCAAAAATCGAGGAGTCGCTGTGCAGTATCTTTTCTCTTTTTTTAGGATCCCTCATTGAGTCTGTGTTGGGAAAGCTCCCACTTCCAGAAACCACTCGTCATGCTACCAGGAAGCAGGATGGGCATTCGAACAAGTTTTGACATGACGTAGAGGTTGTTAGTAGGGAACAGGGGCATGGATCCCTCTAGTTGCATTTTCTTTTCCATCCCATCATGCCTTTCTAACAACCGGCACGATAAAGATCTCATGGGTGCCGGAGGTGCTTCCCTGACCCGCAAGATCTTGATGTGGGCTCGGAATTGCAATCCAGTAGACATGTGTGCACACGGGTTTGCATGCCTAAAACTACACGTCAGAAATTGCAGCAAGCAATTTAACAAATTTCTGGGACTGCCAAAAATGAAGTGGGACTGGCAAACAGCGTCATTAAAAAACATAAGGCTTTCAGTGGTTAGGATAGGGTTTAGAGGCAATCTTATACCATAGCTATGTGAGGATTCCAAGGGAACAATGTTGGTAATTATTCAGGCCTCCCATGTTTCTATGATCCCACTCACACCCTAAACCCTAAACCCTATTTGAACAACATGCTGGCGTGCCTCAGGTTGGTGCGGACGTGCGCGGACCTGATCTATGCTAATGTCGAGCTGGTGGCAAGCAGCTTTTTCGCATCTTTTGCGGTTATGGCTTTGGGAATACTGTTTAGTGTTGTAAGATTGTAAGAGCATGCTTCTACTAGGAATCCCATGTACCTCCGGAGTCCTATATAGATGTGCAGTGGGAGTGGTCCGAGCATACCTACTCCTTAATGATAGATGGCTGGTTGGTGTGGTGAGTTTCGATGGCACCAAATAAAGATAGGTTGGCAGCTATTTCAGTCAGAGTGGGGTACCCTCCCAAATTCTAGACACGTATGTCTCGCACTGGAGATAGAGGGCGGCGAGGCCTCGTTTGGAGTTCAGAGAAAGTGTGGGTCCCCACTTAAATTAAGTTACCATAATGGGTATATATAGTAAATAATAGGGTTTCCCCCATATAGTAACTTAATTTAAGTTCCTTAACAGCAACCTGGAGATATTGGGAGGGCGAGGGCTCGCGGCGTGATGACAAAGCGTGAGACTCCCACTGGAATTTAAGTGATTATCCCCCTCTCATGGAGAATCAAATGGAAAAGAAAATGGAAAATGAAATGGAAGCTGTGGGAATATAGGGATTTAAGGAACTTAAATGGTGGGAGGCGAAGGCTTGCGACGACGACACCTGAGTAAGAACAGATGATGTGATGTTAGAGTGGTCCTTCCACCCCCCAAGAAACCACACACACAGCCCGTCAAAAAGGTTTGAGCCTATTCCCCCCCTCTTAGTGGGGATATGCGAAGTTTAGATGGTTCTTCACCTTGTTTCAACCCCAACATATCTTGCCAGCATTAAAGCTATCTACAAGATCATAAGAATCCAACCCTAAGCCTTGCATCATGCCCAAATGTGCCAATATATGACACTATGGCAGCAATCCTTAAAAGATGTATGATTCTCTTATATCCCTCCAGAAAAGCGACTCATGATTTTGAGAAGTCCTCAGATGACGCTGACGCCTGGGCAAGCGCTGTGTCAGAGTCTGCGCTGTTGGCTTTGGTAGGCCTCGACCTCAGAGAAATCCCACTGAACCCTAAATCTCTAAGCCCAAAACCCTGAACCCTAAACCCTATAAACTCTAAACCGAACCACAGAGTTCATAGCATCCGCAAAAGATGACAATGATCTCAATTATGATTGACCCCTACATATATATATATATGTATATATGGGAACGTGCTGCAGGGCTTCCTAGAACATGTAGCTTCAGCCACCTGGTTGCGGCAAACCCAAGACGAGCCTGACCCGGACCAAAACTACTCTGGCAAATTGCCGCCTCATTGTGTTGTCAGAGTTCAGGGTTTAGAACGGTGTTGGGTTCATAAATAGTTTGGCGGGGCTTTACTAGAACCCATATTATGTTCATGAGACTGAGCATGCCTGAACTATCGTTTCAGCAGGTAGCGGCTCATGCAGACAGAAAGATGTGGCTGGATGTTCAAACATGTAACGCTCATCTGACACTTGATACTGCAGCAGCCTTGCTAGCAAACAGTCCTTAAAGTCGTTAATTAGCTATCAACAGTACGATATATCTATACATGATGTAGTATATATCAATTTATAGATAGTATATTGTTCCAGCAATCATGTTCTACTCTCGCATGACACATTCGGTCCCAACCATTAGACGCGATCGCAATGGGCCTAGTCCAGGGCGGCTGTAAGCGGTGCTGCCAGGAAGAGGCCGCGCAAGCTCAGCGTGAGGATAAAGGCCTGTGTAGGTTATTATAGCCTAGACCCGAAACCCTAAGAGAACCAAGTGAAAAATAACTTGGAATATGAAATGGGCACCGCGATGATAGAGGGGCTTCTAGGGCTAGATTCTCGGGAGTTCCATACACTAGGGAGCTTGAAAGAGGGACGCCCGAAAAGCAGCCCCTAAATTCTTTTCAACGTCCAGATCAGTGTTGCTACCCCGAGTGGGCAGAAGCCCTACAGCAATTCCTTAGCCATAAACCTTACATAAAGGTAATTAGGGCATGCCGGAGAAAATGGTCCTGACGAGGTTGTGAGGACAGTTTCCCGAGCCGCTTTCATCTCCACTTCACGGAGGACCCAAATGCCAATGGGGAGGGTGGCCATGATGAGGCCCCCGCTGAGGCTAGCGAGGACGAAAGCTTCTAAACACAGTAGCAAAATAATGAGAATAACGGTAAGAACTAATAATCACAGTACTCAAAGCAACAATAATTCGCAACGACAGCAATAGTAATTGAGAGTAGGAATACACAACAGCAATAGTACCCTGCCGAGGCTAAGGAAGAAGAGGGCTTGTATTGCTTGTCTGGAGCACTTGAAGGCTTTGAGGGCCATTCGGAGCCCCTGGCACTGAGCCTAAGCGGCTCCTGGGTTGTTTTATACGGAACTTAAATCAGGGCACACAATCGGTATATGGGGCTTAGGGTTAGGGTTTAGGGTTTAAGTCACCATACTATGGTATTTAGGGTTTAGAGTTTAGGGCTTAAGTTACCAACATAGATGTATTCTAGAAACAAGGTAACTTAATCTCAGTTCCTTAACAGCAATCCAGGCTCGTGCTCTAGGGCGGTGCGGTCCAAAGTCCTGGAACCAGATATGGAGATGCTACGTGGCATCTCCCTGAGTAGTACCTTGCTGGGGGCTGGGCATCTTTGGCGGTACTCACCCAAGACCTATAGCACACAGCAGCGAATGGCTCTGTATAAAAGGTCCACGCCCATCCACCACCTGGACATGTTTATCTCCCACACTTGGTGGACTCCTGGCTGGCGAAAGGCCTTAGCGTTGCACTTCCAGAGTACCTGGCACATTGTGCTTGGCTCCTGGGTTTTTTTGGTGACCAGTACCTTCATTCTCTGCGTTACTGGGGTGCTGCCCCTGCCCTTCATATATCAAGCCAATCTGCTTGGATTCCAGGGTGTTTGCCCCTTGGGATGCTGGATCCTACTTGGTGGGACACTGGGCCCTGCGCTGGTCTCCCTGGTCTCTCTTTACTTCCCTTGCAGATCTCCCATCTGCTTCGTAGATGTAGCATGCATCCACCAGGAGGACAAGGCCCTCATGCAGCTGGACTTGCGCATTGAAACTTTGTAAGACAACATGAGCCATAATCATCTAAACTCCTTAAATGGGGGGTTATATAGGGGTATTATCCGGGGTTCTTAAGGGGGATGCTAGGAGCTTAGCGTGTAGCTCACATGAGAAGAAAGAACCCAACAACAGGGCTCTCTGAAACTCGGAGGCCTCAGGTGAGTAGTATTTTATTTGGGAATAGTATGGTACCCAATATAGAGTAAGATTATATCCTCCTTTTGGGGTATAGTATTTTTTATATTACTTATATAATCTCAGTAGGTTTAACCACAAATAAAAACACTACTCAGGTGTAGGCAGGCCTTGTGGTGACACCACATGGGTAGTTGCCAAAGCAAGGTGGTGTTTAGGGTTTAGGGATCAGGATTTAGGGTTTAGGATTTAGGGTTTAGGGATTAGGATTAGGAATTAGGGTTTAGGGATTAGGATTTTGGGTTTAGGGTTTATCCCAACTTAGGGCTCCCAGTTACCTAGATAGTGGGTTATTGGGCTATGTAACCATAGGGTATTTAGAACCCGGTTCCCATTTTTTAGGTATTTGGAGCCCCAGGGCAATATACTGGTAGTACAGTTGACATCCAAAACTGACAAACCCTATCAGCCTTGAAAGCCCTGCGCAGCCGCCAATAGATAATTCCTGCAAGGAGGTAAGCCCTCCATATGACATGAATATATATATATACATATGTACAACTAGACACATATATTCATCCGTCATTTGTTGTGTGTTTTGTTGAGCTCTGCTGTGGTGTGACCATACAACCTACCTGATTCTTAACAGTAACCAACGCGAACTCGTGCTTCTGAGGCAGCGCGGCGTCCACGGAATTGGCGGCTTTCTTGCGGTAACGCGTGAGCTGCGGGTGCTCTGGAGCCCTCCGTACCTGCACAGTCCTTAGTTGTTTCCGCCCACTTCCGATGGGGGCTTGCTATGTGAGCTTCAACCTGGCATGAGGAACGTCCACGCAGGGCCTCCCTAGCTCAACATTCCTTTCAGATCTTGGGAATCTTGGATTCGTCTGAGCAATGAGCCCGAACTCCAAGGATCACGCTTTTGATTCTTGAGGTCTAGACAACCTTGCTTGAGGCGCAAGCTTGTGGCAATTGTTTCTTGTTCCTGCACCTGGCAAGCACCTTTCAATTCCCGTCCATTATTGCTGCATTCTCCAGACACTGGGATTGACATGAAACTGCTGCTGTTGTCGTCATGATCATGTCATGCTCCTGGCGGTGGTGGTCTGCTTAGCGGTTGTCGCTAAACTTCTCTGGCTCGCCTGCCTATGGAACGGGTTTTCCACTCGTTCTTGTCATCATCACTGTACTGTCACAATCAGCCGCAGCATCATCACCACCAGCAGCACCGCCAGCACCTTCAGAACAACCACCACCGTTGCTGCCGCCGCAAAAGCACCAGTACCGCATGCATCACCACTGCCAGTGTCATTGCCACTGTCGCCGCCACCAGTACCAGCACCCACCAGAGCCACCGCATGATCATAATGAGCACGTTCGCCCGTCTCATCGTCTTCAGCATCTTCCTCATTGTCATCATCCTTGTCGTCGCCACCATCAACACAACCAGCAGGTCATTGTTTTAGATGCTCTATGCAAAATTGCTACAAATTTTCTTTCCAAACAGCAGCTGTCAAGGAATCTTACTTCCTTTGCATTACAGTATAACCCTAAGGAATCATTCTAACATATCATCTCATTATAGGCCTAAGTCTAAGGGGACTACAGGTAAAGACGGATAACCCACCTCCAGGTCGAGGCTCTGGTGCATTTTTGAACTGGCAGCCTTCCGGACAGCCAACCCAACAGGACAAATAACTCTTGCCCCGCTCTTCGTCGAGATGACGGTATTTTGCATGTGGCTGGTGCTCTGTATGGGAAACTTCTTCTTCTGGGTTGCAAGATCGGGATACGGGGGTGCGAATGTTGTGGCCTATGTGCAGACAGCGCTGCCCTTCTTGCCCGGTATACACTTGCTCCGGAAGAATTATCTCGCGAAGCATAAGCTCCTTGCAGACATGGAGGGTTTTGACCTGGACTCTGTGCAGTGCTACAGTGAGTCAGACCGTTACTCGACCGAATTATCCGCAACACTATATACTCAGTGCCCAGATCTAATGCTGGGTTCGTCTGAATCTGGGATACTTCTACTCGGGGTTGTCAGTGATTTCCAGATCTCATGAGCAGTCAGCGGCAAATTCAGGGTTGGGAGGGCGGGATTCACCGGATTCAGGATGGAATAGTAGTGAAAGGACGGCACGAAATTAGTTGCAGCTGTTGATTCTATAAGGTTTGCTACAACCATTCTTGTGATTGTTGCTGCGGGTCTGTTTGTTACCTTGTAAGTGATGCTGAGGGGACTTCATTCATTCGGCCATCGCGGACTGGTACGGGAGCAGCCGAGCCTTCACACGGTTTGTGCAAGGGCCATTGCGTGAGGCCCTGCTGTCATGTTGGTTGCCATTCCTACAATGATGGTTTGTTCTTACAAGGTTGAGCCCAAAAGCAAACTCGCATGTCATCCCTAATAGGGACCACTTCATCCTCCAATAATCTTTATCCTCAAAGTCCCCTAAACCCTAGACATTGAAGGCTTGCTGCTTTGGCCAGCTGAAAATTAGATCCCCTATATAGACCCATTATAACCCCTATATAGTCCGTACATAATTTCCCATATGGTTCTAAGGGATCTAATTTTTAGATCCCTTTGGGGGTCTGGGTTGTTATGATACCCGAAAAGGAGCTCACTGCACCTATTCTTGCCACCAACTTGCGCTGGCCTTACATCTTCCTCCTGATCACGCCCACCTTCAGCCTCAGCAGCCTGGCAACCTACGGTTGATGGAGAAAATCTTGCACCACCTTAAGTCCTAAAGTCCAGGTATTACAGTAGTTTATGTAGGGCCCCTAGGTGGTGCAAGATTTCATCCATCAACAGTAAGTCAAAGCTGTTTGCATCTTTGAAGAAGACCTAGGTGACATGAATTTGTCCCTTTGGGTTGATGAACGAGTCATGGATGTTTTTAATATATAGTCCCCCTTAAGTACATAGAATAGGGGGGCTCATATTGGGACAATGGAACAGAAAATGGAAAGTACTATTGAGGGCTTAGGGCTTTGCAAAAAAGAGTAGCCTTATTTAAAGGATGTCCAGGCATGGAGACATTGGTTGCCCTCTTGATGGGGGATTCCCCAATTGGGTACGCTGTGGCTTGGACGGCTGGGATGCTTCTGGCTAACAACTGCTTCTATGTTCCGGCCGGCATTGTGCTCCTGGGTTGCTGTTAAGTAGCTTAAATTAAGTTACCATAATGGGTGTATGTATAGTAATTAGTATGGTTTCCCCAATATAGTAACTTGAATTAAAACCCTCAAATCCCTATTTTCCCTCAGTTTCCATTTCATGTTCCTTTTCCTTTTTCATTTGATTCTCCATTATAGGGGGATCATATAGTAACTTGAATTAAGTTCAATAACCCTAAACCCTATACCCCAAACCCTAACAGCAGTTTCCATTGTATTTTCCATTATCCCTGTAGGTTTCCCCAATAAAGTGACTTAAACTACGTTCCTTAACAGCAACCCAGGCTCATCATCTATCTCTGCGACCGTTTCGCAGAACCCCGAGGTTCATCCGTGCTTGCGGACTACCTGCAACTCGTCCCTTCAGCCCTCCAGGGTTTAGGGTTTAGGGTTTGTTCCTTCAGCCCTCCAGGAAGCTGTTTGTGGCTGACCTTTGTTACGAATCTTACTGGCGCTTAGTAAGCTATATAGAGTCCCCGTCCCCGTAGATAGAATATGGAAGTCCCCAAAGCCATAATAAGATCCCCATATACCCTACATTCTACTTCCAGAGAAAGTTTACGTGCAGATACACACCGCTCCTCAGACCAGTCCTCGACTTCCCAATGATTCAGAGAGCTATGTGCAGTTCGATCTCATGCAACCCTACATAGTTTTTGTCGATTTCATGTTCCAGTTTCTTTTCCATTTGATTCTCCACTATTGGGGTAACATCCCTTTGTATCCCTAAACCCAGTACGGGGGTATTATGCCCCTTCCAAGGGACCTAGGGATGTTATAAATTATGAGGCAGTCAGTCGCCATCGTTCTCTTCGTCTTAGTGGCTGGGTTGTCCATCAGCGCCGTCTCCAACTTTCTGGTCGCCGCCGGGCCGTGGACTGCGCTGGTATGGCTTGGCGGTGCAGTTGTGAACTTTGTAGGTGGGACTTTCTGAGGGATAGGGGTTCTATCGGGATTATCTTGGGGTATATAGGGGCTTTATAGGGTGGGACTTTTTACAAACCACCCGTTGCTTTAGGTTGGGCCCCCCACCCACTAATAGTGACCACAAGGGATAATGGTAATTATACTGGGGTCTCCATATATTCCTAATATACCACTATTAGTGGTTGGGGCCTAACGTAACCCTTGCTAGAATCCTGAGTAGGAGTCTCGTTGCACTGCACTGATGTCCTGCAGCTCCCTAAGGTTCCCCTCAATTATTCTCAGAGCCCCGCCAGGTCTGCAGTTGTGCTGCAAAAGGGGACGCCTACCAGCTGCAAAACCTTCGATCTGATAGGCCTGATTGGCCACCTCTCGTTTGAACTCTTTCATGATTTGATTTTGGTTGCCCCTACGCCCAACATTAGGCTCTCGATGTAGTCCTATCATAGTTATTGGGTCCTCATTTCGGGGAGCTAGGGTTACCAGAATTTTTGTTTTTGTTAATGTTCGGAGCTACCCGAGCTTCTCTGCCATAGATGCGTTCCATCTCTTTGGAACTGCTGATGCTTGCCAAACGGGCAATTTTCTGTGAAGCTTCATTCTAGTTTGGGATCCCTTAATGGGAGCCGATATTGCGAATCATCCTATGGGGATTTTTAGAAATTACGGCCCCTTATCGGGAGTATCAGTGCAGGAATATAATACATTGAGGTCTACTTATGGAAACCCCCATATAGCCCCATAGCTGGTTCATCTTTGAGCCTGGAGGTTTTTGTTTGCTGGGCTTCTGAAAGAAGCACTGCAAGCAAAGGAACCTGAAAAATGAAAGACAATGCTTCCCGTTAGACCTTGTGCAGCTCAATGAGGTGTGGTAAAAGGGGCTTATAGGAAATATATAGGGGACTACTATAGGGGTTCTCAAGGGGGATACTGGCAGTTTTAGAGAATATGGCCCTAAACCCTAAACACCAAACCCCTCACTGAGATGGGGTAATTAAGCCTCGTGCCTCATAGCAGACGTAAAAGTTCGAGGGGTTGTCAATAAACCTAGGGGGATACTAGGAGTTCAGACTATAGCTCCAATTGTACTGGGCTTGCTAACAAAGCCCGTTGAAATTTCTTTGGCCCACGTGAATTAAGCCTAAACCCCAAACCCTACAACCACAAACCCTTAAACACTTAACCCAGTAGTACCCTTTTTCCCTTTTCATCTTGGGGTCTCCTTTTTAAAGCTGAATATTAGGAAAGGGTGCCCATATTATTAAGTTAGCAATGACCATTTCCAT